CCCGCCCACCCGGGGGCCCACTCACTCGGAGAACTCCCCGCAGATCCAGGCGGCGGCATACAGCACCTCGCAGATACCATTCCGCTGCGTGTTGCTGGCGACCAGGTGGGCACTGTCCAGGAGGGCTGACATCTGTGACACAGCGAACTTACGAATGGCCTTCACGCGGATGGCCACGTCCAGCATCTGGGCCGCGATAAGGTGGCCATGTCGTGTGCCCTCCAGCCGGGTCAGCTCTACCAGGATGCTGATGTACCTGCGGAGGGGTGGGCAGGCGTGGTGAAAAGCCGCCAGCCAGAGACACAAAGGCTTGCCCCTTTCCTGCCTGAGAAAGAAAACTGAGAGCAAACGGGGGTGACTAGGGGGAGCACAGGGATTTTAACTGTTCCGTGTGACTCTCTGATGGACGCGTGACACCACGCATCCATCAGAATCCTTGGGACTGGACAACACAGGACTCTGACATCAACTATGGACCTCAGTTAATAACAGGAGTCCCTGGGTGGCCCAGTCAACCCACTCACTGCTAACCGAAAGGTTGGAGGTTTGCGTCCACCCAGAGGCACCTCGAAAGAGACGCCTGGAGATTCACCTCACAGCCACTGAAAACCCTAGGGAGCGCAGTTCTACTCTGACGCGCACGGGGTAGGGGTAGCCCTGAGTTGGAGTGGACTCTCCGCAACTAATTTTTTAGTTACTGGCGACGTATCGATATTGGTTCACCAACTGTAACAGACGTACAGATGTTAGTGATGAGGGAAAAGGCGCACCGCGGAGAGGGGGTATACAGAACTCTGCCCTCTCTGCAAAATTCTTCTACAAACCTAAACCTCTCCTAAAAAAACAAGCGTATTTAAAAAAAAAAACAATCGGGAAAAAACACCGATCAGCTCCCTTCAATCAGGTGAACTATGTGATATGTGAACTCTACTGCACACTGGAAGTCGGTGACGTGCTGACAGGTGGGCTGTACGGTGTGTGAGGTGTAGCGCACCATTTGAAGT